GCACATTCTCTCAGAACCCATGGTGAAACTCCATCCGGGCCAACTGCTTTGTTCTTACTTAGCTCCTTTAGCATATTTTCCACTTCATCTCTAGACACCTCTATACGCTCTTATGTTGTTCTCTGGAATTCTTATTGTGTCTGGTTCTCTGAAGATCTCATTTTGTACAAGCACACTTTGAAACTTTTCGTTTAATGTTTCACATATTTCCTTTTCATTTTATGTGAATCTGTTTCCCATTTTCAACCTCTGGATATTATCCTTTACTTGCAATTTGTTTTTTATGAATTTGTAGAATAGGCCTGGTTCTGTTTTACATTTATCCGCTAACCCTTTTTCAAAATTTCTTTCTGCCTCTCTCCTTACTGCCGTTTAGTTGTTTCTCGCATCTTTGTATCGCTGGTATGTTTGGGGGTTTGATCTCTTCCTATATTGATTCCATTTTTGCGTCTTTTGGTCTCTGGCCTTCTCGCAATTTCTGTTGAACCAATCCTGTTTTCTGGCCCTGCATCTCTATTTTGGCACGAATGTTTGTGTGCCTTCATCGTATATTTTGCAAAATTTGGCATACATTTCATTTACTTCCCTTCCTAGCAACAAGTGTGTCCAATTTCACTCATTAAAAAAATTTTGAAGTTCCCCATAGTGACCTCTCTTGAAATCGAGTTTATCAATTGTTTCAATGTCCCCATTTTCTTCTAGATGATATCTTAAAGCATATTTAATGTCTAACAGGACGTGATCACTCTTTCCCAAGGGAGGAAGGTACTGGATGTCAAATATCTCTTCTTCTTTCCTGGTGAATACTAGATCCAATACTGACGGTACATCTCCTTCCCTCATTCTTGTGGCCTGCTTTATGTGTTGATACAAGAATGTCTCCAGAATGAGGTTCACAAATCTGCATGTCCAAAAGTCCTCCGTTCTTGCTTCATAGGCCTCCCAGTCTATTGCTTTAAAGTTGAAGTCCCCCAATATCAACAGTCGTGATTTATCTTTATCTGCTTGTACAATAATATCTCTCATGACCATTATGAGACCCTCTCGTTTGTCATCCAGTTCTTCCTTTGTCCATGTGTTGCTTGCTGGTGGGCTGTAGGCATTTAAAATTATCAGCTTATCATCCTGATTCCAGACCTGCAATGCCATTATGTCAATATCTCGAGGGTTTTCAAATATTAACACTCTTACCTTCATGTGTTCTTTCACCAGCACAGCCACTTCTCCTCCTCCCTTCCTAGTTTTCCCTGTCACGTCTCCAAACTGAATAGTCCCTTGGGAATACGACTTCATTTAATATATTTCCTTCGAGTTTCGTCTCTGATAATGCGACAATATCTGGGACCTTAAGCTGAATTATATCTTGCAACTCCAAAGTTCTTGACCTCATTCCATCTATGTTGGTATATACAGTTTTCAGGAACATGTTCCCTTTCCCTTTGCTCTTTACTTCCCCTTCCACTAATGATTTTGTTGCCTTGTTTTTATGTACCATTTCACAAGCTTTCCAGTCCCTGACACTTTGTAGAAAAAAGAATTTCTGTCTTCTTCATTTCTATCCCCATTTAGACGTTTTGCTTCAATGAGGTTCATTTCCAGCTTTTTTCTGTCTTCTTTTGAGAGGTCTTGTCTTGTTGACCAAAGTTTGCCATCCTCCTCATACTGCAATTTCCTGGCATTTCTAAGCACTTCTGTCATTTGTTTCACTCCATTAAATGTCACCCTTAATTAAGGGGCGGTTCTTGTCTTTCTCATATTTTCCTATCCTTCTAAAATCACTGACATTTTCCTTTGAGTTTAGGCCTTCTCCCAAACCTACTATTTTCTCTATGATTTTCACCTTTTCTGCTGCTCGGTCCACCCTAGATGAAATTTCCTTCTCTGAACATCCAAAAATTATTATGGACTTACTTCTGTCTGCAGTGTTTTGTACTAGTTTACTGTTGGTAACCAGTTTTCCTAATTGCTTGCCTAATTTCTGCTTCTTGTTGGTCATTTCTGGTTTTGACTTCTGAACACACTTCCTTGAGTGTCTCTTTCCCTTTTACAACTTGTGCATATGTCTCTTTTTATTTCTTCTTTATACTTTTCTAGTTCTTTATTAGCCTCCTCTATTTGAGTTGCCAATGAAGTTTCTCGTTGCATCTCCTTGCCTAACTCCATGTTAGCCCTCAGGCTACCTTGGAGTTGTTCACCATATGAGTATTTTCTTGTTAATTTCTTCAAATTCCCTACTCTTCACTTTCCATGCCTCATTATCCTTTACTAGTTCCTTGATGTGTTCCTCCTGCATCCTTACCTTATCAGTCAAGCTGGAAATTTCCTTACCTTGCTGGAAAATACTTCCTTTTAAATTACAAAACTCAATCTTGAGACCTTCATTTTCTTGTTCTAATTTAATAACCTTTTCTTCATAATTCTTTAGCATGTCCTCAATAATCACTAACCTGCCAAGAAAACCACCTTTCATTACATCTTGTTGTGAGAAACCTACAAAATATTCCTTTATTGTGCTGTCCTCCCCTGTGGTGGTGGCCATCTTTGTTGTTATTCTGCTGTTTTGAAAGATCAACTTTTCTAGCCAAGATTTTTCATTCATTAACACTTATTTCCTATCTCTTAGTTTATTTTCAAATTCCCTACACCTTCATGTAATCTGGGACACCACTTGCAACCCTCACCCTACTCCCCACACTTAGATAATTTGAATTATCGTGGAGCCTGCAGCAGTGTGACTCTTCAGTGTGATGATGCTCACTCACTCCCAATCAACAATCACACAAAGAGTGTGTTTTGATTCATTTGAGGCTGTCCAAAATAAGGAGATAAAAAGATTTATCTCCTAGAACTCCTGATTAAACCTGGAACTTCCAGATGGATCATTTCCATCTTGAAATGTTTGCTTTTGTCACATGCTAACAGCCTCAACTCTGAAATTCTCTCTAATGTAACAGTAAGTTGAGCAGAATTTACAAAATATATATTTTAATTTTCAGGCTTGACCACACCTTACTGATATTTATCACTGCCTGAAGTTTGAGAGCTACAAATTTTAGAATTTAGTTTGAACTACAAAATTTACCACCACCAGTGTAACAAAATATATCAGCCAAGTTAAAGATATAAAGCACTAAGTGCTACAATTGAACCACCCTTAGTCATGGACTCCAAATTGAAGCTTGCACTGTATTTACATTAAATCTCCTGGCAGTATTGCTTATAAATACAGTACTGTATACTCTCTTTACCAATCTACTATAATCCCGTAATTTAATATTCTCAAAGCATCTCGGTGTGCTCCTCTCAATCCAGTAATATAATAACTGCACTCCAAAACTATGACATTTTCATAACTTACTCTATTATATCTCAACCATACACAAGAGTCAGTACTATCATTCCTTCATGGACATTTCTTTCTGTAGTAATTCCTATCTTGTTTTCCCACCCAGGGCCTTCATACACCAGCCCCTTACCTTCCTTGTCATACTCTACTCTCAACTTCAATGGCACAAATCCCTCTCTCAGCAATCCTACATCTTGGGTACAGTATTTATACTGATCATCCACTACCAGCACTTAACAATTTACGGACCACATAAAGAACATTGTGTGAGGAGCCTATGCTACACTTTCTAACTTCAGAATTGCTTTTAAATACATCAATGGCAAAATAATGAAGAAATTGTTTACAACTTTTGTTATACCAAAGCTGGAATATGCCCTGAAACCTGGAACTTCAAGAATGAGAAGTCATAGATTTAAACCAACTGAACAAAGCTGCCAAAGAAATATGAGAAAATTCACTTTTGCAAACAAAGTGGTAGACGGTTAGAACAAGTTAGGCAAGAAGGTGGTGGAGGCTCAAACCGTCAGTAGTTTCCAAGTGTTATTATGACAGAGTACAGTACTGGGAAAATGGGACACCACAAGTGTAGCTCTCATCCTGTACCTACACTTAGCTAATTACACATTATTTCCTTCTCTCTCCACTACCATTATTGTTGTCCACATCAACTTTATAATGTTCTCCTACGCACATTAATACAATTTTCAACTAGTCTACACAGCTCTCTTTAATTCTATGTTAAATAAACTATTATCTGCATACTGTATATCAGTTTCGATATGCTTCAATTACTCGTTAGATGTACATACCTTAACATCCCCTCATGATGCCAACCATGTATATATTGAATAACCAGAGTGACATCACACAACCCTGGCATACACCTATATTACTTACAAACCAGTTACTTGTTATGTCATTAAGTCTTACACATGGCCTGCTGCATACATACATACAACATTTTAACACCACTCTTGCAACTCCATACAAGCTCATCACTCTCCAAAGTCCTTCTCTATTAACTTTGTCAGACATTTTTAGGGGTACATAGATTTCATATACACTTTATAATCTTTCTATTTCACCATGAAACCAACAGTGCTCATCACTCATCAATTTCTTATTAATTTCCTGTACTCTTCCGATCACTATTCCGATGTATACCTTGCACACTCCACTTAGAAACTAATGCCTTCATATTTCTTACACTCAATATGGTCTTTCTTATTTTTATAGTGGTACAATCTCTGCTCTTTACTGACCATCTATGGCAGTGCTACTATTCCTTACCTTCTGGCAAATTCTCCACACCTATGCCATTCCTTTTTTTCTACATAACATTTAATAATTTCTGTATAAATCACATCAACACCAGTAGTACTGTATACACAATATACAGTAAATCGATCAAACTTTATTTAAAACGTTACAATACCATATTCATCAACTAACCTAATTTCACTGAACAGCAGGACTATCCATTTCTATATCCTATTAACTACTGGAAGTAGACTTTTCTAACCTTTTTTTTATAGTAAGTTAGTTCCCAGAACAGAAAAATGTCTCTTTCCTCATTATATTAGTTGGTGACAGTATAGTATTCACAACACTATATATTATATTAACAATAGAACAATAAAAGTGGTCTTACCTGCCCATAATGTCAAGTGCACTGCCAGCGTCTGTATACACCTGGAGGAAAATTTCTAGCTCCGTCCCTTTCCACCGTGCCTGCCGACAAGGATCTACCACTCTCTCCACAGCGTCAACAAAGAAATCCCGCATATCTCGGGAGTTGTTAAGGGCACAGCCAATGTTGATGATGCCTCGTGAATATACCTTGAAGTTATTTTCAACTTCTGAACACATACGGTCAGGAATTTTCCCCCGAAGATGACTTAAGGTCACACTAGTACATGGAAGAAAATAAAAAAATGTAAAAAATCTATAAACAAACGTATTGTAGTTGCATACATTATACTGAGATTTATTTTTCAAAACTGTCATGCTCTTACATCATTTTATACATTACTAATACCAGTATAACATTTTAAGCGTGTTCATGATTGATACAGCACAAAATCCATTAGTGAATGATATACAGCAACCCCAAGCAAATTATATACAACATACCCTGATGAATGAGTGTACACATCTCCTGAATAATGATAAAGAATTCTGTTAAGAATGATAGTGTACATGTCCCTAGTAATAAAAAAATCAGTTAAGAATGATAAACTGAATAATATACAAGACATCTTTTGTTGAATGATATACAGTACTGTACAATATAATCTTCTGGTGAACATAATACAGCGTCCCATGATAATTTATACATTATGCAATGACCTTTCTGAATGACATATTTATTGCCTGAAACACTGCATAATTTGGCCTTCACAAATCATTTTTACATATACATTTCATATATTTAACCCTATGAAGAGTTTCTGTGATGGCTGTGTTTGGTGGGTCCCCGAGTGACCCGCCAGGTTAGTTCCAAGCCTTAAAGGCACCCCACCCCTTTGAGTCATAAGTGCCTACTCTGCTTTCCTTTTAGAACTATGTCCTGCAGGTGCCTATGAGAATATTTGTTTTATTTTCTGCTTCGTGAGCATGTTTTCTAACCTCACTGTTTTATAAGCTTTGATTCTTGTTCCCTTCGGCTCTTTGAGGCTACAATTCTGTTCTCTGGTTGTCCCTGGCATTGCCCCTGCCTTACAGGGTTTCCACCTGTTAAGGGACCTCAGGCTAGGTAGTGTATGGGGCTTGGCTCCTCTGCAGTGCCTGGGGATTGGGGGTGGACTGTAGTTTTTTTGTTTTTTTGTGGGCACACTGTGGGTTTGAGTCAGATCTTGGACAGGTTGTGGCTTATACCTACCTCTGCCACATTTTCCCTGGTTAGGGTTTGGTGACAATATCAAATACTGTCTAAGTTCATTTATTCGGACTATATGGGAAGAACCCCCTGACTGTATAAGCAGAATTCTTACCAGTAGTCCAAAAATTACCATATTTGCAATTTTTTGTACCACAACCAACATGGTTCAAATTTCCATATACACTATAAATAAAAAATATAATTTAAAACAAACTTCAGCTTAGCTTGTTGTAGTTTGTCTACTTTTGTTTGACCTTGAAATGTGTAGTTCTTGAAGATTTACATAACCTAATCTCTGGTTATCCGGATTTCTGTCCGGGTACAGCAAAGGTTTGCCAGAAAATTAATCTGGAGGCAATTTTGCCGGATAACCCAAATATTCAGATAACTGAGCTCGTACAGTATGTTCCCCTATTCCCAGCCTTCCAGATGGTGCCAGTGTTCCCAGCAGATCTCATATGTTCTGAGAATGTCGTGAACCATTCCTTCATGCCTGCTTGAAGTGACAGCTTAACGTAATAGGGTGTCCCTTTTCAATTTTTAAAGTCTGAGTCTGGCATGGAACCTAGCTACTTATTCACCTTCCATGGTCTAGGCTCCAAAGTGTTTGCATCCTTCAGGGTTTATGGCTCCTTATGGTTTAGGGGTGACATGACCTTCTCTGAGGGTATCCTTGCTGGTGGTAGAGACAAATGAGCCAGAGCTTTTCCACTGAAGTTCAGTTACCTTCTCTCCTGGAGAGTTCTGTTAGCTCGGATTCTCCCTCATGAGGGCAAATGCATCTTGAAAAACACCTGGTTCTTCCCTGATGCCCTTCCCTGTTCTTCCTTCAGCTGGCCAGGAACTTTTTTTATGTTCAGTTTCATGGCAGTCTGGATGCTTTAGTTTCAGTGCCAGAGAAGAGGACTCTTCTGCCTACGGTGAATGAAGCAGAGGCAGTGCTTAGGTTGTATGGCCTTCTCCAGGAGGAAGTGGTGGACTTGGTGGCTCATTTGGTGTGCCAGTTCTTCCCCATGTTCAGGAATCAGCTTGGTTCCTTTCTTCATGTCTGCTTTACCTAATTCTCAACTCCTGTTCCTAGAGGAGGTTTCTTCAATTGTCAACTATGGCTTTGGCTTTTCAACTTCTGAGTAGTCTTTTAGCAGTGGGGTTTTGTCCCTCCTGCATACTGGCAGTCTTCAAAGGTTTGGGTATTGCTGCCTCCTGGTTGGGATAGAGATTCTGTGACACCAGGTCCTGGGGCTGTAGTGCTGTCTTCAGCTTCTGACTTCCTCCAACTCTCAGCAGCATTCTTGTGTATCTTTAATACGGGGCCACACATCAAGATATATCATGAGCCAATAATTTGTATCGGCTCATTCGTATTCATCTGAGGTTCAAGGAATGGCTAAGGTTTCATGTGAGGCATCTATATTATAGCTTCAAGGTTCTTCCCCTCCCTTCCCTTTGAATGTTTATCAGGTTGCTGCAGGTCTTGATCTCTCATCTTCATCTGTTGGGGATGTGTCTTGGCCTATCTCGACGACTGGCTGGCTTGGCTTCTAATATAAAATTAGAAATAGCCTACATAAGCATTAAGCAATTATGTAGCATACCATTGTGTGCACTATAGTCTTGGAAGTATTCAACTACTTTAAATGTGAATGAAATTCTACAAACCTTCTAAAATTCAACAAAGTATTAAAATACTTACTTTCGATGCTCTTTCTCACGGTCCAATAAAAGCTTGAAGTCCCTCAGTTCAATAAGAAAATCTCGATCAAAATCGGTGTCATCTCTTCCATCTGGTGCATGGTTATTGCCAGAAACAAGAGGGCCAGCAGTCGTCCAAGTGGACATCATCAGTGATGCACATATCGAGAAATCTTCAAAGGTGAGATAATTCAGTTTGCGTTTGCTTGTTTCAAAACGGTTGTTAATAATGAAGACAATAGCTGCATACTTTCTGAAAAAAACAAAAAACAAAAATAATAATTTTGAACACATGATTGACTTTCACCACGCTATATACCTTTATAAACATAATGACATTTACAAAAAATCCAGCAATGAATGTAATGAAAATACCTCTTCTCTGTCTGCTACAAAATTTTAGCAACCACATCTTGGGAAACACCAGGACTATTGCCTGCAACTTCCTACTGGGAAGGATCACCACAGAACTGAGCTGAAGACCTGCCAGAATATCTAAACTCTCCAAAACAATCACCTGCTCCCAGAACCTTTGCAAACTGATGCTCACACCTTGTGATTTACCACAATTAGACTCACAGACAACTTAGGCATGTTGCATGACAGAACTGGTATATGTCATGCCCGCTCTTCAGACTATACAGTATCTTCTCAAAGGAAGAACATCAAACACAGAAAAGGCTTATTTTCAGGCCAATGTGATATACACAGCAAAAACAAAAGGCATCCAGGTGGATGCCGTGACCAGGTCCTGCAGCCAAGAAGACAACCTACCAATTAAAAAAGAGTTGAAGTCCATATCCAAAACACAGTCTTGAGTAGGAACCATAGTAAATCCCCCTGCATCACAGCCAGGGAAGATGAGACTACTGAAATCTGAGAGGGGCAAATCCAGCCCAATAACCAAGATCCAGAAATGCACTCTCAGGAAAATGGTGGAAGAATCAAGCTCTTACTGTGACAGAGCTGAAATAGGTATCCCTGTGAAGCAATAAACTTTTGGGACCAGGCACCAGATAGCACAGAGGGTCAAAGGGCAATTCAAGGACCCTCCCGGGAAAAAGAACACCCAAGAATGGAATTAACATCCCCCCCCTACAAAAGCCAATCAATCCAGCCTATCCACAAATCATGAAAAGGAACTAAAAATGAAATTGAATGAAATTAGCACAGGTTTCTATAACCAACCACTTCCTTCCTTGTAGAATGAGGCATCTGAAATGGGCTGCCAAAGACAGAACCAAGAGGCCCGATGCTATAATTCAGCTACTGGCTAATACTGCACAAAGCAATGTAAGGCCTGGAAACAGGTGAAGCCATGTATGACTGCCATGAATGGATCCTGAGGAGGGCGAACCAGCTGCTTACTGTCAACAGATGAGCAGGTTGGCCAGATGCAAGGAATACATCTCAGACTCCAGCCCCTAAACAGCTAATCAGTGAGGAAAGGCCTAAGCCAAGAACCTTAAAAAGAATTCATGTACATGACTGAGCACAAATCTCTACCCAAGAACCAGGAAGACAATCCAGAAAATGTTTGAGATACACATCAGCACTCAGAAAACAGTACTACATATCAATAGATCCAGCAGAAGAGCAAAACAACATACTCTGATAGGATGCTGGAAGCCTCAAAATAACCAGAGTACCACACGGAAGAAAACCCTGAAGGGACAGAAGCTATGCAAGCCGGCTACCAGGAAAGATAACCCCTGGTTATGACAGCTGGAGCACATGTCGTGAGTAATTGGAAGCATTCCAACACAGAGCACATGCAAGGTGGAAGGTACAACCACATACGTGAAGCAAATTATGGATTAAAAATCAAGCAAAGGCACATGGTACTATCATTCCAGACATAGCAACACAACTTATCTTAAAGTCGTACGGTGGCAGAAGGCCCAGCAGTGAAGGGTGTTTTCAGTTGCACACAAGGTTTGTGAATGAGCTGGCAACCTGACCAGGACCCTGAGTTGCCTAGGTTACCACCTTGGACAGGCAAGTGTATCTAGATAGTGATCTCACCATGGAAAGACTTTTATATGGTTTTAGCCAGATTTAAACACTTGTAAAAGATGCTGCTTGTTTTGAAGCATTCCGACTTTCTAGTGGGTTTTTCATTGCATGTTGGGGTGATATTTGGTCCTCAAGCTCCCCTTCACCTCTTTGATCTCCCTGTAGACCCTCATTGGTTATAGAGCCATGGCATGTTCCCCAGGGCCTGGCTGCCTCTAGGTTACAGCACTGGGGGTGCTACTAAGGTGGGAGGAGGTCTTCCCAGAAACACAGTTAGGAAATTTGTTTCACTTGTTTATATTAGTACAGTAGTGCTAATACAAGTTTGCTCAAAAACCTAAAATTGTTCTTACGATAGATTTAAGGGAAGTGGTGGTATGCTTAAGTAAATACACAAAATGCTCAACTCACTTAGCAAGACGAGTCGGTAGGAGAAACACCGACTGAATGTTGGTGACAACAGAGCCAGTCATCTCATCCACTTGTTTGAAGATCCGCTTTACATTATCAAATTGTCTCCTGAAATGTTTTTATCTGCATAAGATCAGAGACATATGGTATTTTTCTGACAAGTCAGCCACATCTACTAAACTACTATCTTTCAGTCGATGTAAATTTAGTTCATGATACATAAACTGCATGATACAGAATACTCCCAGTTACCATGACTGACTGAACTTAAAGCATTCATTACAGTAAAGTTAACATTTGTCAGCAACTCCTAGCAAAAGAAAACTATTACCAAAAGTGTAGAATAAAATTAATCACTGCACTGCGCCAAACAACAAATGCTGTTTTGAGAGTTGTCCGTTTTTTTGTTTTTTAATTAGGCTATATTTTAACATTTTATAATGTTTTCATCACTGTGTTTTGAAATGAAAATAGTCGAGGTTGGAAACATTTTGACATTAACTTTACCTGAACATTAATATAAGCAACAAAAATATGTCCTTAACAATTGCACTATGAAGTTTTTGCCAAAAACAGGTGTGCAGTGCAGGGGTTAAACCACCTCAGATGCTACTAATTCAAAGTATCCATATGTTCTTATTTTCATTGCATTTTCTCCACATATCCACAAGCACCTGAGAGAACTTATGATTCATTCACAAGACTTAAAAGATTGTAGTCAACTCTCAGAGTATACCTCGTGTGCATCTAATTATCAAATAGTATGTACTGTACTGTACCTGCATGACCGTAGAAGAACACCGGTCTTTTCAGCAACGTCATCCAGATCTTTCCGTGTTCTTCCAGAGAGCTTCTTACCAAGAATCTCCCGAATTACTATATCATCAAACTCGTAATACCTGCAACAGAAACCATACTTTTGGCAATTTAATCTACATTTTAATGATGCATTTTTAATTTTTAATGCAGAGTATTTAATTCTGGCATTTTAACCCTTACACTGCTACAGCCGGGGCTGTAAATGGGGCATATAACCTGGGGCTGGGCAAAAATATATTTGAATTATGTGAAAATTTATATTAAATGTTAAATCTCCAACTTATTGGCTTCAGCGTCGTGAAAGCTTCATCCAATTTTTTTCAGAAAAGGATTTTAGACAATTTTTTTTTAAAAAGAAGAACGTTTTGTTGATAAGGAGAACAGCTCCTATTAACTGGAACTGAGGGATAATGAAGTAATAAAGAGATGCAAGCATCTGTCCGATGCACGAAGAAGAATAGTAGTTGGACGTGCCTTCAAAGTGGATATGCAGCTGGTGCCTTTATAGCATTGATGAGTAATACTGTACATAATAACACAAATAATAATGAGTATGTTATTATGCTCTATTTTGTTATATATCATACAAATACATTGTCCAATGGTAATACCTATTACTTTCAATAATGTCCAAATTTGTATTTTTTTTTTTTTAGGGGAGATTTATTTTTTTGTTCTTTATCTTTTTTTTTTTCTTCTCTGTTTATTATCCGATTTTGTTGTAACCTCTACATCCGGGAGAATGCATACCTGTCCCTAACTATGTCAAGATAGAATTAAATTGATCAACAAATAAATCGGTCATAACCAGCAGAACTCGGGACTGAATTTTTTTGGCACATTTTTTCACAGATTTCAAACCCAATTTTCCTTGTTTTTGTAGATTGTTTTGATGATTAGGGACCAGATTAGGGCTTTTTGACTTATATAAAGTACACCCTATATCCCCTAAATCATTATAATTATCCCCATATTTAGTTGTTTTTTTTTAGGGGGGGGGGGGGTATTTTTTCTCGACTTCATTTCAACGCATGTTGACCTACAACTTTCATATATTCGAGTATGAATGCCAAACAATGTTTATTAAAACATACAAGTAAATTAATGAATTAGAACTACCTTATACAGTACATTGTTGATAACTTCAACTTCAATTATCTCTAAAACTAGAGTTTCAAAATTTTGTCAGTTTCAAAAAATCCAGTCTCTGACCGATTCTCACCATTTTTACATATAGTGTGTGCCGCTGTCTGTTCTACAATCCCATTAGAATGAATTTTTCATAAACTCTAAAAGTTTCGAGTTAAAAATTTTGTTGTCTGAATTTGGTGCATATTTCAAATGCCATATTGACAATTTTTTTTACGGTAAACTATACTGAAAATCTATATTCTAAATCTATTAAAATGGAGATCATATACATAACATAATAACACCTAATGAACAATTGGTGATATTTAATATTTTTGCAGCTGATCTGAAAATCTGAAATTTTCAATATTAAATTTTATATTTATTTTTAATTTTCTTGTTTTTCAAGTTACGTTGCTGATTATTTAGACAAAGTTGGAGTGTTTGTGTGGTAGATTATGCACAAAAAATTGGAAAGGGTTAGAACAAGTTTGAAAAATTTAACTTGGTACCATCGGGACCTGTTGTATATATATATGCCATGCGCAGTTAATGGTTAATGATGCCTTCAAGAAATTATAAAAAGTGAAAAATTACTTTCTCCCATACATCATATAAGATAGCACTGAAGCCTCCTACAGCACATAACTCAAGTAATGAAGGATCACAAAATGGTCCAGGTGAAATACTGGTGATTCTTCACAAAGAATGATATATGCAAAAAGAGGCTTATAACAGATAATGAAACTAGTTGAAAGTAAAATCCAACAAACAAATGGTATGCTTCAATCTGGTAAATTAAGGACAAAGATTAATCAACAAAAATATAATCCTGGCACAGTATCTCTTTAAATAAAATTTTCCAGCAACTATGTTTTACATTATCAAGGCATTAAGTGTTACTTTTGAATGACCATCTTCTGGACTGCTGGTTCCAATTGAAATGTCCATTCCTCAGCTAGTTTTGTGGGTGTGAGTAAGAGCTTCTCCAGCATGCCAAAGGTGCGGTAGTGGTCGGCCGTGTCAGATGTCAACAGTTCCAGAGTAGCACCCCATGTCTCCAGCTCACCCCGCTGCTGCAGCACCGACACAGTTTCTACAACTGTTCATGCACAAACATAAGGAAGAACTTAGCTTCTCCAAATTACCAATAATCTCTCTACAGTATCATGACAGACCATAAAAAAATAAAACTATAAAATCTTGACTAGATACTCTATAGACCATCAAGACTTTGTGGATTGAAAATTAACTAGTGTAAAGGTTCTCAAAAAGGTAATAGAATATCTCTTCCAGCACTGTTTCATATTAAATGTGAATTTTCTCAACCACGTTTAATATGCTAATCATAATAAATCAAGATACTTTATTCAAAATCAAACTACATCAACTGAAGAGCCTTTAACCAATACTGAGTTCACATTTCACACAGTATGTACTGTGCTATCTAAAAATACAATGCTGCAGTATTAACAATATAATTTTGTTATTATTAACTACTGGTATAAGTAAACTAGTTTTAATTTATTTAAACTTTCTTATAGTGTACAGTACTTCTGTTAACTTCAAATTTTGCAAAATTTTTATTTATATATACAGTACAAGAGTTCTTACATTCTTGTAAAGTCACTAGCATGCATAGCATTTCGGGCAGTTCCTTAATCTTAATTTTCCTTGGAATACGAGCCACCAAATCATTTAACAACCAGGTACCCATTCACTGCTGGGTGAATAGAGGCATGTAGTTAAAGATTGGTGCCCAGTCAATCCTCCCTGGCCAGAAAACGAACCCAGGCCAACTCCCTCAGAAAGTGCGGGGCGAGTGTCTTACCACTGTGCCACGGAGACTGCAAATTTTAAATACATCCCTCATTCACTAGCTTTATATACTTTGGTTAAAGCTCACCCAAAACATGTATATTTGCTAGTGTCTGAAGCTAGACAAATACAACAAATATTATTATAAATAATAATAATAATAATAATAATAATAATAATGCCTGCCCAAAACACTGCGCGTACTAGTGGCTTTACAAGATTGTAAATACTATGCTATGTATTCTCACAAACCCAATGTACCTTCTTGTATATAAATAAATAAATAAATAAATTAATGCAATTTTATACTAATGTTCACATTAACATCATTACAAGTAAAATACTGTACTAAAGAAGAGAGTAGTGACATTAAGAATCAAAAGTGTTTACAGATGAAATTTCTCCTTGTGCCAATGTTGGATCCTACGGATTATCTATATTTTTTTTTTTTGAGATATATACAGGAGTTGTTACATTCTTGTACAGCCACTAGTACGCGTAGCGTTTCGGGCAGGTCCCTGGAATACGATCCCCGCCGCGAAGAATCAGTGTTACAACCAAGTACACATTTTACGGTTGAGTTCAACAGAGGCGGATTTGAGTTCAACAAACAGAGTTAAGGATTTGCGCCCAGTAAATCCTCCCCGGCCAGGATACGAACCCATGACATAGCGCTCGCGGAACCCGAGGCGAGTGTCTTACCACTACACCACAGAGACGGGTCCGTCTAATTACCACAAGCTACCACAAGCTACACAAGCTTCACAAAGCTTCCTGGCAATACGTTAGTAATGAATAAATATAATAGGTTAGTTAGGTTAGTAACCTAACCTAATTTAACCAAACCAAACCAAACCTAACCTAACCTAACCAATGCTTGGATCGATTTGGCGTCACCAGCTCTTTATTTTCGTCTGATTTCTTTATAAAAAGATACTTTTTCAGATTAAAATTATGTTTTTTCGTGTTGTACATTCAGCACCAACATTATAATGAGTAAATATATCATATGTATTCATTACTAAGTATATAAAGTATATAAAGCTTCAGACACTAGTAAATATATCATATTTATTCATTACTAACGTATTGCCAGGAAGCTTTGTAAAGCTTGTGAAGCTTGTGTAGCTTATGGTAGCTTGTGGTAATTAGAAGGACCGGGTCAAGTGTTGTTCTGTTTGGAAGAGTGTTGACCTTCAGTACAGTGGCGGCGGCGGCATATAAGGCTTACCCGAGTAGCCCTGCACCCACAGTTCAAACACATCCTGGTCAATTATGGTGTAGTTCCCCACAAATATATCCACTTCAGGCATCATGACCCGAGCCAGAGGAGCGGCTGATGACCCGTGTTGACCCGCCTCCACCACCACACACACACGGCTGGTCGTGTCGTACACAACCCTTCACAACACCGTCCGTTTCGTACACAAATACCCTAATCCACATTGGTTCATATAGATTTTTTATATATAACAATATATACAATAAAGCAAAAAAAAAACCATAAGGAAGGGGGTGGTAGGAGAAAAGCGCACAGAAACTGTATTGGAGGGGACCTAAACATTCCCTCATGTGTGGTTTCCTCCGAGGCTAAGGGTCCCTTTCTTCCAGTCAGAGGTGGAAGAAAGGGGACCCTTATATATATATATATAAATATTTTATTTATATATATTTGTATTTTTTTATTTATATATACAAGAGTTGTTACATTCTTGTACAGCCACTAGCATGCATAGCGTAAGTCCTTAATCCTAATTTTCGCCTTAATACGACCCGCCAAATCGTTTAACAACTACAGGTACCCATTTTACTCTTGGGTGAACAAAGGCTACAGTTATAAGAATAATAATATTACATTTTTTATTCAGGAAAAGTACATACATAGTTAATTTACAAACATAATGTTGGATTTATAGATAGAGCTAGTACATACAATACCTAAAGTCACTAATATGCATAGCATTTCGGGCAAGGTGGGGGTTATCTTAAGGTTATCTTGAGATGATTTCGGGGCTTTTAGTGTCCCCGCGGCCCGGTCCTCGACCAGGCCTCCACCCCCAGGAAGCAGCCCGTGACAGCTGACTAACACCCAGGTACCTATTTTACTGCTAGGTAACAGGGGCATAGGGTGAAAGAAACTCTGCCCATTGTTTCTCACTGGCGCCTGGGATTGAACCCAGGACCACAGGATTACAAGTCCAGCGTGCGGTCTGCTCGGCCGACCGGCTCCCCCGGGGGGGGGAGGGGAACTTAAACTAAAACTTGATAGTAATTGGGATTAGGTATAAATTGTGTTCCAAAAAGGAATAAAAAGTAAAAAAGAGGGAAACACGGCAGAAATCAGCAATTGTACAAATTTGTGAACAAACAGCATTGTTTAACAAAAGCAAGACATGGGTTGACATTTAGGGGGTAAGGTAGGTTACATGGAGTTAATTAGGTAGTACTTGCTTTTACTCTTAAACTGGCTGAGAGGGGTACAGCCTTTGACATGATTGGGGGAGACCATTCCACATTCTGGGTCCCTTGATTGGTAGATCACACACCCCTAGGAAGCAGCCCGTAGCACCTGTCAAACTCTCGGGTACCTATTTTACCGTTATGTGAACAGAAGCATCAGGGTGAAAGAAATTTTGCCCATTATACACAGAAATCACAATAGCGTGATGCATCAAATGAACAAATCCACAAGGGCCGTGACGAGGATTCGAACCGACGTCCGAGAGCAAACTCTGCCCATTTGTTTCCGCCTCCGCCGGGGATACAATCCGGACCCATAGGACTACGAGCCCTGAGCGGTGTCCACTCAGCCGTCAGGTCCCCAAACCTATTTTGTGTTTAGGCTGGAGGGCGGCGTTCGTACCCAGCCCGGATTATGTCTATTATATCGCTCAATTTTCTTTTAATAACTATATGACTGTTAAGTAGAAGATTTTAACTTAATAGCATTATATTGTGGTTTTAATATTGAGCAATTTTATATATGTATATGTATATACGAAACGTACAAATGTTGTGTGGGTACTGGTACAAATATATATGTGTGTGTGTGATCCGTGTTGTGTAGCAAGTGTCCGGGGGAGGTGGCGGTGGACATTATAAGGCATTAATCATGAAGATTATTTACTAAGTGTTCAGTAGTGGTCAGTGGATGTTGAGAGTGGTTGGTGTGAAGCATGAAGAGAGTGGTACTCTTCAGGAACGGCTCCGGTGTCGACGGTAAGGTAAGCTCCTTAACCTGGTCCTCACCCCAGTACATACTCCACTACTTCTTCACACTATATATATGTATATATACCTATATATATATATATACATATACATTGTAGCCAGTTGAGAGTATATAATGGAACGAAAGAGAACCCATGTTAATTGTGTACTGCTATTCACTAGTGGGGCTTTACCTCACAATGCTCTACTTGCCATTATCCAGAGTGTCCAATTTGGCTCAATACTGATTTACCTGTGAGCCACTAACCCTAGTGGCCGCGGTGGGGGACAGGAAGCTGGTGGTTTGTCAAAGGCCCTTCCCTCCCCCCTCCCTTCATTTGCCTTGATCTACCTGGAAATGATTATCAAGGCAAATTCGGGGTGGGGGGGACCTTCGACAAGCTGCTGGCTTCCTGGCCCCATCGAGGCCACTAGGGTTAGTGGCTCTCGGGTCAATCGATAGTTGAGCCTAATTAGACACTCTGGATACCGGCAAGTAGAGCATTGTGAGGTAAAGACCCAGTAATAATTTGTTTATTTATTTATTTATTTATATACAAGAAGGTACATTGGTTTGTGAGAATACATAGCATAGTATTTACACTCTTGTAAAGCCACTAGTACGTGCAGTGTTTCGAGCAGGTCCTTAATCTAACAGATAATTAACTATAATAATTCCTACTACTAATAATACTCTGTGTTGTGTGACAGGCCAACCCGAGCTAATAAAGCAGCACGTTTTGACGCACACTTTACCTAAGGCCAAAAGTTGTTGAACTGGAAAACGGAAGCGGCTCGCGTAATGGACACACACTGACCCGTTTTGTGTTTTGAGTTCTCTGATAGGTTAGGATACTCTGTGTTGGGGAATTCTCATAATCGGGAATTCAGGGTTCGAATCCTTGCTGGACACAAATGGTTGGGCACATTTTCTTTCACTTAATGGTTCTGTTCACCTAGCAGTAAGTGGGTACCCAGGAGTTAGCTTGTTGTGGGATTGCATTATTATATACATACAGTACAGTAATTAAGAATTATTTTATTAATTATGTTTATAATAATTAATAATTCATTGTGGGGGACAGGAAGCCAGGTTATTCATACAGTACATGTTAGGCTTATATTGAGGTCCCCCCGTCTCCCTGACTTTCCAGGGTCGAATTACTGACCCCGCCCAGGATACAACCCCCTTTAACAAACTGACTAACTCCTGAGTATGTATTTACTTCTAGGTGAACAGGGCATTAGGTGATAGGAAATACACCCAGCCATTTCTGCCTTGCCTGGGATTCAAACTCAGAATTCCCGATTGTGAGTCGAGAACGAATCCAACTGTACTACCGGGACCCTTAAATATATGGTACACTGCGGTATTTGTATAGTCCTGTATCATGGCGTGCTTGTAGAGGATAAGAGTCAAAACACAGTAGTGTGTGCGGTGCAGTGATAATATTTATGTATCCTGTAAAGGCTGAGCCATTTTTTACTTTATTCAGAAGGGAGTTCCATATTTAGAAACCTTTATTTTCATGCTATGTTTGCATAGATTTAGTCAGACTGGGAATGTTAATTGTATTGCTTGTGAGGTATTCATATGTTCCTACATCATCTAGGAATAGTATTATGTCAGAGTTAGTATTGTGGTACAGGGCTTTGTGAGTGCAAGAAGGATAATACGTAGAGTGTGTAATTACCTAAGTGTAGTTACAGGATGAGAGCTACGCTCGTGGTGTCCCGTCTTCCCAGCACTCTTTGTCATATAACGCTTTGAAACTACTGACAGTTTTGGCCTCCACCACCTTCTCGTCTAACTTGTTCCAACTGTCTACCTCTCTGTTTGCAAAAATTAATTTTCTTATATTCCTCCAGCATCTTTGTTTCGTTAGTTTAAATCTATGACCTCTTGTTCTTGAAGTTCCGGGTCTCAGGAATTCTTCCCTATTGATTTTATCGATTCCTGTTGTTATTTTGTATGTAGTGATCATATCGCCTCTTTTTCTTCTGTCTTCTAATTTTTGCATGTTTAATGCCTCTAACCTCTCCTCGTAACTCTTGTCCTTCAGTTCTGGGAGCCACTTAGTGGCAAGTTGTTGCACCTTTTCCAGTTTGTTGATGTGCTTCTTAAGATATGGGCACCATACCACTGCTGTATATTACAGCTTTGGTCTAACAAAAGTCATGTATATGTGTGTATGTCAGTATGTTTGGGGATTTGTGTGGAATGGTTATACAGTATTAGAAAGAGTTTAGGTCTAAAAGATTTACAAAATTTAATACTGTAAAGCACCAAATTTGCTGGCACTGGGCACCTAATGTAAGAAACATTCAAAATGATTTCTTGCCTTTATAGAAATTGAGGTTACATGAGAACTTGCAGTTTGCAAGGAGCGTGTTAAAACTTCCTTCAAGTACGTTACAGTATGGGAGGTGTTAACCTGTAGGTCTGCCACAGGTGGTGCATGGGAGGTGTTAACCTGTAGGTCTGCCACAGGTGGTGCATGGGAGGTGTTAACCTGTAGGTCTGCCACAGGTGGTGCTGGTGACGCACTCCTTGGATGATCTGCTTGCAGCTGCCTCACAGAAGCTGACCGTCAGAGCTACACAACTATACACACCCCAGGGAGGACTCATTGATGACATCAGGCTTATTAGGTAAGGGGTCACCACCTGACCACTCACTCATCACATGAACCTAAGGAACCTATTAGGTATTTCCCTTCCCCCCCCTCCCCAAAAAAAAAGAATATATAATATTTATTTATTTATTTATTTATTTATTTATATACAAGAAGTTACATTGGGGATTAACAGAGAATATAGAAAATAAGTTGAATTAACATTCTTGTAAAGCCACTAGCACACATAGAGTTTCGGGCAAGTCCTTAAACTAACAGATGAAGATAGACAGAGACTACAGGATGACCTGGACAAACTGGAGGAATGGTTTAGAAAATGGCTGCTAAAGTTCAACTCAGGAAAGTGTAAGTTAATGAAATTAGGCGAAGGGAGCAGGAGGCTGAACACAAGGTACCATCTGGGAGGTGAAATCCTGCAAGAGTCAAATAGAGAGAAAGATCTGGGGGTTGATATCACACGGAACCTGTCCCCAGAGGCCCACATCAAAAGGATATCATCAGCGGCATATGCTAGACTGGCCAACATAAGAACTGCCTTTAGAAACTTGTGTAAGGAATCGTTCAGGACCTTGTATACAACTTATGTCAGACCAATCCTGGAATATGCAGCTCCAGCCTGGAGTCCATACCTAGTTGAACACAAGACAAAGCTAGAGAAGATTCAGCAGTATGCCACCAGGCTCGTCCCGGAACTGAGAGGTATGAGATACGAGGAAAGGCTAAAGTAGCTGAACCTCACGTCCCTGGAAATCAGAAGAGTAAAGGGAGACATGATAACCACCTACAAAATTCTCGGGAATTGACAGGATGGAGAAAGACAAACTCTTCAGCACAGGTGGGACACGAACAAGGGGACACAGGTGGAAACTTAGTACCCAGATGAGCCACAGAGACGTTAGAAAGAATTTATTCAGTGTCAGAGTAGTTAATAAATGGAATGCACTAGGAAGTGATGTGGTGGAGGCTGACTCCATACACAGTTTCAAATGTAGATATGATAGAGCCCATTAGGCTCAAGAATCTGTACACCAGTTGATTCACAGTTGAGAGGCGGGACCAAAGAGACAAAGCTCAACCCCCACAAGCACAATTAGGTAAGTACAGAATTTTTTTTTGATGAATTAACAGTAAAATTGATAAAAAATGTTAGCAAGTATTTTACAGCTTTTCTTTACAGGTACAGATAATTTTAAGTAGAATAATTACAGTAAAATCAACAAATTTTTTTTACATGTAATTTGAAGAAATTTTGACACAAAAGCAGATCGGAATAATACACAATAATAACAATACACAATAAAGAAACAAGGATTACTAGGTACATGAGGATAGCATTTCAGGGTTATACATTGGTTCACTAAAGCACAATATGAGGATCATTTCGAGGAAAAGTTTCAAGGAATAATGCAGTAGAAAATGCACTCAATACAACAACCATGATATCAGATGATATCTAAGATTACAATGTTAAAGTAATATGGCTTAGGTACAAATATTGGGGGAGTAGATAGCACTAGATACAGTGTGAAGATAAAGCCCATGGTAGAAAACTATGAAAATGAAATTAGGTACTTTTTGGTTTTATTTCTGGGTGAGTCCCGGAGGCTCCCTGGAGCTATCCCAGGCTGATATGCTAATGTCAGACTTTGGCATCAGTCATGTGTATAGAATTCTTAGGCCTCCCGGGGACCACGGCCAGAACCGTGCCCCCTCAGAGAGGCAAGGGAAGCAATGGCCTATAGAAACCCCCGTGTGGTTGGAAGCATTCTATGTCTACCATCGACCGGATCAGGCACCCAGAAAGGTAAGCGCCCCAAAACAAACCCCTATTCTGGTTAAAATTGCTACCAAAAGCCAAACCAGTAGATAGAACTCCCCAACAGAAAACAAGCAAACTAGTGTGACGTCACACATCCTTGTGCTGCTGTCTGCGCAGCTCCCCCATCCCTGGGAGGGGGAAGGGGGAGCCCCAGAACCTTTAAGCCGGCTACCCACACCTCAGTTCTTGAGGCTGATGCTATAGGCGAAGGTCATGTGCTCTGGCTCCAGTGTCACTACTGCACTGTGCTTCGTGTCTGGTGTTTGTTTTCTGTGGGTATGAGAGCCAGGAGTTCTCTTCAGTACTCGGGCTGCATGCGCCTAGGGCTGGCTTCCCTAGGTGCCCTGTAAGTACTGACCTTGGGGCTTGGGACCACCTTCCACAGGCTCCTCAGGACCTGCCTCTGCTGGTCCGTTCTACCATTCGGTTTTTCGGCCGACTGTTGGGCTCTTGGGTGTTCTGTTCTCCCTTGTTACCTGCAGGTAAGAGGCAGTTTGCACTGGTAGGGGCGCAGGGTGCTGCGCAGCTTTGTATTCCCGACATAGCGGCCGGCTCTGTTCCTGTTTGCTGTCCTCTTGCGGGGTTTTGTTTTTCTTTATCTTTTTGCCTTGTGGGGGGTTCTACTCTATTATTACACTGGTGTTTGCCCTTCCACGGTTCTTTTCGGTGGCGCCCCCTGCTAGGTCCCCGTGAGTGTACATGTCCCTAGGGTACAGCTATAGAGGTTTGCTTGGTAGTTTTGGGTGCCAGTTAACTGCACCCTGCCTGGGACTACCTGAGCGCGAGTCCTCTTAAAGTAAACGCTCAGGACCCTGGGAATCCCTTAGGGGGCACGTGGGTCTGATGGATGTGACCCTGGAGTCCCCGCTCATTATGTGTGAGTTTGAGGGTTGCTCGGTCCCCTTGTCTCGGGGTGACCCTCATTGTTTTTGTCTCCGCCACGCTGCCTGTTGGGTCGGTGATACTTTCGACCCTGAGTTCTGTGAGTGTTGCTGCTTGCTTGTGACTCAATTTACCCAATCCTCTGATGATTCTATTCGGGTACAGGCGGCACGTGCGTTGCAAGCTAGGTTTCATCTGTTGCAACGTGCTCAGTTGGTTGTTCACCCGGATGCCCCGGGGCTGCCCCGCTTTGCTTTTCGAGACCTGGACTTGGGGGTGGGGGTCGCTTCAATCCTAGTTCAGTCCTCACCTCCTCATCCTTCCCGTCCTGTTGTTCGTTCTGGTCCCCCTCCCTGCTTCCGGCCTTGAAACGTCTGAGGGTTTCGGAGTCGGAGCAGGGGTTACTTGATCTTGAGACTTGGGCAGCTTCGGGGGATGCCACTTCCGGAGGGGCAGCGGAGGCATTCGAGTCTTGACTCCCGGCCAAAGCTTCTGGGTCTGACCAGTGGGCCCACTTTCTTCCGGCTTCTACGGCTGCTCCGTCCTTGTCTTATGGGGTTGGTGCTTGGGGAGGGGACTCGGCCCCGGGTCCTGCTGTGAAGGACCTCGAGGCTGGGGAGGGGCTGACTTGGGGGCCTTGGACCCTGCTGGACCCCGCCTGGGTTTTTCTTCCTTCTGAGCAGGACTTGTTGTTACAAGGTGTGGGGTTTTCTTTTTTCCCCCCTCTGCGTATGAGTTGGATTTGGTGTCGGCCCCTCCCTGGGTGCGTCGGTTCCGTCTTTCCGGAGGTTTACGGCTTATTACATCCAACCTGGTGTGGTGCGGGTGGCCCTTGCAACGTACCTCCTGCATGACCCTGATTATGCCTCGGAAATGGAATCGTCCGAGTTCAGGTTTGGGACTTCGTTCCCTTTCTGGCTCCGTTACGAGGTTCCGGAGTCTTCCTGGCTAGCAGACTGCCCCTTGTTTGTTCTGGATTCCTGGCATTCCTTCTGTCGTTCCCGCACACTGGAGTGGCGGGAAGCTTCCACGGGGATTCAGGTTTTCCTGGGAGGCAATCTTGAGTACCTAAACGAGTGTTTGTTTGCCCCTGCCCTTCCCCGCGATGTGGCTGTTGTTCAGTTCCATGTGCAGGTTCCCTCCCTTTCGGCAGCGCTCGTGGCGGAGGACTTGCGCGCCCGGGGCCGTCTGGCTTTGGCCTTGCGGTTCTTTTCCCACCTGGAGCTGTCCTTGGATTGGCTAGTGGAGGATGTGAGGACACTTGGGTCCGTCCCGGGGTCCGGCGCCTTGTCCTCGGCGGCCCTTTCGTCGGCTGCCTTGTTGAATCTTTTCGCGCCGATTTTGCGGGATGCGACTTCCCTGTTTTATGCTTCCCGTCTCACGTGTCGGCAGGCGGTTCTGGGTTCCTCCGTAGAATCTGCTTGGGCTCTGGCTCTGGCTCTTAGGCTGTCGTCGCCTTTTTGTCCTCTTCTGTTTGGGGAGTCGGCTGTGGCACAGTTTATCCAGGCTGCATCGTCGGCTTGTGGTCTGATATCGGACTTGTTGGTTTTCCGTGGGTCCTGTGGTGGGTCTTCCTGGATGGGTCGTGCCAGGGCTCGGGGTTCCTCTCATCATAGTAGGCCACTGGTGTCAGGCTCGGGTTCGGCTCCTGCTTTGGACCCGCCCTTGTCTGGTCAGCACGGTGTTTACTCTGTGTGGGGTTCTGGATCTCGTAAGGAGCCCAGGCCCTTTTGCGGTTTGCCCCATTGACGGGGCAATGGGGGGGAGGCTTGCGCTGTTCGCCCACACCTGGTCCCATGATTCGTGGGCGTTTTGGGTCATGTCTGTCGGCCTGGGGTGGCGTTGGGTTGCCCCCCTCCTTTGGGGGGGGGTCGGGGCTTTTTTATTATTATTATTATTATTATTTTCTACCACAGACGTGGCCACACATTTACAATGCTAATTAGCATATATACATTTTCTTCTGTCCTCCATGGACAGGGTGAGAAATTTGTCAAACATACAGTTCAGAGATTTATTAGACAACCACAGAAGGTGATCATAGTGCTTCTAAAATGTTAGGCTAAGCTACATATGTAAATACATAGATACACAGATTTATGAATGCATTAATGTGAATTTATAATGGTGAAATGTAATTCTGATCAGCTTTATACTTTATACACATACACACACACACATACATATATACACACACATACATATATACACACACATACATACACATATATTTGTCTCTTTTACTCTGACAGGGTGAGATAGCTGACAGAGAAACTAATGTGCAATTAAGAACTTAACCACTGAAGGTGATTAAG